CTTGTATGCATGCGGATTAGCATAACCAATGAACACAGACACGGGGGCGGTGGGGGCTATCCAGGGTGGGAATGGCTGGGGGTGGAGGGGTCAGTTGGTGAAAAAGAAGACATCATGTAAAACTTTAGACAATAAAATAAGTTAATTCTTTTTATCCATAAGCACTGTATATGCTTTTTATTTATTTGTGTCTTCTTCAGTTTCTTTCTTCAATGTCTTATAATTTTTTGAGTACAGATCTTTTACCTTCTTGCTTGAATTTATTCCTCAGTATTTTTTTATACAATTGTAAATGGGATTGTTTATATAATTTCTTTTTCTGATAATTTGTTATTGGTTTATAAAATGCAACCAAATTTCTGAATATTTCTTTTTTATCCTACTTTGATGAATTAGCTTATTAGTTGTAAGAGTTTTTTGGTTGAATCTTATAGGGGTCTCTATATATGATATGTCATCTGCAAATAATGACAGTGTTCTTCCTTTCCAATTGGATGCGTTTTATTTCTTTTCTTTTTGCCTGATTGCTGTGGCTAGGACTTTCAATACTGTGTTGAATAGAAGTGGTGAAAGTGGACACCCATATCTTATTACTGATCTTTAAGAAAAATGCATTTAGCCTTTCACTGTTGAATATGATATCACCTGTGGGTTTGTCACAGATGGCCTTTATTATGTTGAGGCATATTTCCTGTAGTCTCACTTTGCTGAGAATTTATATCATAAATGAATGCTAGATTATGTCAAATACTCTTTAAGCATCTTTTGATATGATTATATCATTTTTATCTTTTTAAGACATGTTTTTATTGATTCTTGGGGGGGAGAGAGAGAGAGAGAGAGAGAGAGAGAAAGAAGAGAAGAGAAGAGAAGAGAGAAGAGAAGAGAAGAGAAGAGAAGAGAAAGAAGAGAGAAAAAGAAAGAAATCGATGTGAAGTGAGAGTGAAACATCAGTTGTCTGCATCCTACACACTCCTTACTGGGAATTGAACCTACAGCCCAATCATGTTCCCTGATTGGGAATTGAACCAGCAACCTTTTGGTGCACATCAGCCAGGGCATATCCTTCATTTTGTTCAAGTGGTGTATCATGTTAATTGATTTGTGGATATTGAAGCAACCTTGCATCCCAGAAATAAATGCTACTTGATCATGGTGTATGATCTTTTTAAAATATTGCTGGGTCCGATTTGCTAATATTTTATTGAGGACTTGTGTGTCTACGTTCATCAGGGATATTGCCTTATAATTTTCTTTTTTTGTTATGTCTTTGTTGGAATCAGGGTAATGCTGGCCCCTCATAAAATGAGCTTGGGAGTCTTCCTTCATCTTGAAATTTTTGGAGTAATTTGAAGAGGATCAATGTTAATTTCTCTTTGAATGTTTAGTAAAATACACCTGTGATGCCATCTGCTTGGGACTTTTTTGTTTGTTATGGGTTTTGGGGATTTTTAAAAAAATTTTTATTGATTTCAGAGAGGAAGGGAGAAGGAGAGAGAGAAATATCAATGATGAGAGAAAATCATTGATTGGTTGCCTCTTGCATGTTCCCTACTGGGAATCGAGCCTGCAACCCAGGTATGTGCCCTGACCAGGAATCCAACCATTACCTCCTGGTTCATAGGTCAGCACTCAACCACTGAGCCATACCAGCTGGGATGTTGTGAGTTTTTTTTATTTTCTTTTAACTTTTATTATTGAGAATACTAGAGGCCCAGTGCACTAAATTCAGCAGCAATCAAAGCGCGAATGTCTGGCGTGGAAGGGTAGGTCCTAGCTGACCTCTGGGCCGTAGCAGCACCTGGGACCCAGGGCCTCCACGTGCCCCCCTCTGCCTGAGTCAGGGCGCCCGAGTCCCCACACGGAGATGCAGTGAGCGCAGCCCGACTCTGTGGGCCTGGGCACAGCATGGGCCTCTGGGCTGCACAGTGGCGCCTCATGAAAGCCAGGCAGGCAGCACACTTTCTCCCACCGGCCTCGCAGACCAGCTCCTGCACGAACCCATGGGGAACCCGATCTGCCCCTGTGGTCCCAGCGGCTGTGGTCTGGCTCTCCCAGAAAAGGCTGCTCGGGTGTCAGGGAGGCTCCTCATGGGCGCCCGGCACCTGAGTGCAGGGGCTTCTCCGGCATGCAAGCCCTTATTTGTGAAGCTCTTTATCTGACCCTCAATTCTAAATGAGAGCTTTGCTGGGCAAAGTAATCTTGGTTGTAGGTCCTTACTAATCTTCCTGGTTGTTCACTTTGAATATTTCTTGCCACTCCCTGCTTGCCTGCAAAGTTTCTGCTGAGAAATCAGCCAACATTCGTATGGGCACTCCCTTGTTGCTTTTCTCTTGTTGCTTTTAAGATTCTCTCTTTATCTTTAACCCATGGTATTTTAATTATGATGTGTCTTGGTGTGGGCCTCTTTGGGTTCCTCTTGTTTGGGACTCTGCACTTCCTGGATTTGTAAGTCTATTTCTTTCTCCAGGTAGGGGAGGTTTTCTGTCATTTCTTCAAACAAGTTTTCAATATCTTGCTGTCTCTCTCTTCTCCTCCTGGCACTGCCGTGATGCAAATGTTGGTACTCTTGAAGTTGTCCCAGTTTTGACATTCTCACTAAGATCCTTGAAAGTCTCATGAAGATCCACTTTATGACTGTGATTTTGAACTCTGTATCCAGTAGTTTGCTTGCTTCCATTTTTTTCATTTGTGACATGTTTTTTGTTTTCCACATTTTGGCTGCTTCCCTGTGTTTGTTTCTGAGTTGCTATGTCTCCTGGAATCGGTAGAGTGGCCTTGTGTAGGTGGGCTCCTGTGTGGGCTATGTGCAAAATCTTGTTCTTGAGCCTTGATCCTGTTGGCATCACTGGGAGGAGCTGGCCTCCAGGCCAATGGAATGTGCCTGCAACTATAGTGGGAGAGCTGCTATACAGGAAACACCCCTTTGGAGCAGGACTTGCTTCAGTGAGGATCTGGTGGTCACTGAGTTTGCCTATGGAGTGTGTCACTTGTGGATGTGTAGAATTGTAATCTGCAATGGTCTGAAGCTGTCCACTGGGTGCACTGGCTCTAGGACTTTCAGGGAGGAGCAAAGTTAGCCACTGCCTGGGGCCACACAGCAGGAGCTACAGAAGGATCTGCATACAGCTGCTATTTGCTGTTGGTAGTGGGCTTAGAGATTCTCAGGTGAGGCCCAGCTGTGAAGTAAGGCAAAGTGCTGGATCTTGGGCCTTTTAATGATAGGTTTGGGGCATACTGTCAACAGCTACCGCTTGTTTCAGAGATTTTAGATTTAGATTTAGATTTAGATTTTAGTCTGAAGCCTGAGCCAGGACAGGACGTTCATATGGAAAAGCTGCTGCAAACAGGTTGGGTGGGGCTGCAAATTGGATGGGACAGTGTCTCAAGAAATCACCAGGCTGGAGCAAACAGTGTGCTCCAGGTTGATATGGCTGCCTGCTCTGCGACAGGGGATGTCCCAGCACAGGAATCCCTGTCTGGGAAAGAGCCATCCCCAAGTCCTGCCCAGATGCCAGACAATCCATTTCCTCCCTCTATGTATCTGGGTCCCCCAAAGCTGCCCGGTGCTGGCAGTCTGAGTAAGTTCATTTGCCAGCCCTTTAAATGGAACATCTGAGTCTTCAGCAGCCTCTGTGTCACTCAGCTACAATCCCCGCTGGTTTTTACAGCCTGTAGTTGTGGAGACTTCTCTTCCCAGCTCTGGGAGCCTGGGCTGGGGGTCTGGTATGTGGCTGGGATCCTTTGCTACTCATGAGTGGCCCCCGCAGAGAAAATCTCCCTCCCAATTCAGAAAACACCACACGTGTTGGACCAGCCCGTTCTGTGCCTTTACTCCTCCTACCAGCCTCTGTGTGCTTTCTTCTTTACTTCTCTAGTTGTAGGACTTCCAGGCAGCCAGCTTTCAGGCAGCTCTGGGTGATGGTTGTCTGTATTTTAGTTGTAATTTTATTGTGGTTGTGGGAGGCAGTAAGTACAGGAGTTTACCTACACATACATCTTAGTTCTCTTCTGAGTTTTTGATTATTGATTCTATTTTGTTAGTAATTATCAGTCTGTTTGAATTTTATTTTTTTGGATTTATTTCATTACTGTAACTCTTTTTTTTTTAATTTTCTATTACAAAGGGTATTACATATGTGTCCACTTTTTCCCCCTGCCCTAGACAGTCCCCTAGCCTCCCCTATCCCCCAGTGTCTTATGTCCATTGGTTATGCTTATATGCATGCATACAAGTCCTTTGGTTGATCTCTTACCCCGCTCCCTCCTGCCCCCCCAACCCTCCCTGGCCTTCCCGCTGCAGTTTGCCAATCAGTTTGAGGCAG